TACCTTACCTTCACCAGGACATGAGCCCAAAATCACAGCTGCTAGATCTTCTAATGTATCCACTACACTAGGTAGTCAGCTGCACTCCAGTGAATCAGCATCTGTATCATCCATGCACTCAACCAGCACCCTGTAAAGTAATTTTCCAGAAAGCAACTGTATTATTCATAGAATGCTCTTTTAGATCTCCAAAGGGGAAATAATATCAAGACTTGTTAATGTCAATTTTTTTGTTTTTGTTTTTGTTTTCGTTTTTGTTCTTTTCTGCGCTTGGGTTTAGGTTGAGTTGTCCGAATGATGGTGGTGCGAGTTAGCTATGTTGAATAGCTTAATGTACATTGTTGGGCTCATTTTCTAATAGCTTAAGCTTTGGGGACTAATGGAGATATAACATATGGTATCAGAACCAGAGAACTAGGGATGGGTAGGGTGCATATCCCTGGCTTGTACATGGTGGGTGCTGCCAAGCGAGCACACTAGTGTGAGGGAAGGTGTGAAGCGAAATTCCACATCGACTGGCTACAAAAGTAATGTGCAGTATATAAATCTGAGGGCACCTCATGCTGAGCTAACTTTAGGGTGTGTTTTTTCCAAGACTGTAACAAGCTATTCTTTACAAGTTTGAATGGTTTTGTGTGCTAATTATCATAGATGTATAGTTGATCCAACATTTCTACTCTTTAACATAGATGGAACTACAGAAGTTAATTTAAAACCTGATATTTTTAGAATTCCCCACAAGCAATACATTGTTTGCGATGATTGAGGCTCTGTGAACTGCTGCTTTAGCACGAATAGCTGAAATTTCATTTCTTGCCATTTGCAATTCCTCCAATAGTGTTTCTACCCTGGCTGGTACATCTTCAGCTTTCACCTTTGCAGAATGAATTTTAATAATGAAAACATTGGAAACAATCAGGTGTTCTCTATTTAGCAAAAAGATTACAGAAGAAAACATACTTTGAGAGTGGAGCAGAGCAGAGCTGTTTCATGTAGTTATCTCTAGCATTGATGTATTCGATAAAAGCTTCACCAGCAACGGCTTCTATACGTCTGATTCCAGATGCAATCCCCTGTTCTGAGATTATTTTGAAGCCACGTATTTGCATCTACCGCAGCTTCCACTTCACCGCCAACCCCTATACTTCCCTCCTTATAGTGTACCCTTATGAACAAATATATTACCCACGGATTTTTTGACGTCTTTTATCTCTATAACAGCAGTCTGTTGGTTTCCAGCTTCGGGAATAAATAGAAAACCATTGTCTCCAATTTGACCACCTGATTCAGCATAAAATGGTGTCCTATTGAGAAAAACTTCTACTTCGCTGCCTTTGGAAACCTGTAGTACCGGTTTCCCATTCACCAAGAGAGCCTCAACTACTGCTCTGGTGGAAAGTGCGTCATAACCTCGAAATTCTGTGTCACGAATATTTTCAGCCTGATCTCCGCCATCTTCAACTTCAAGTTTGACAGCATTATGTGTAGCCTGAGACTGACGTCTTTGGTTCTCCATTTCAATATCAAAACTGTTCATATCTATATTGACACCGCGTTCATCAGCCACTTCCCTAGTTATCTCCACGGGAAAACCGTACGTGTCATACAAGAGAAATGCATCCTTGCCTGACAAGCAAGGTGCAGTGCTATTTTCCTGAGCACTTGACAATGCGTCTGCTAACATTTGATCGAGCAGCTTTTCCCCTCTCTCCAATGTTTGTACAAACTGTAGTTCTTCCCTCTTCAACTCCTCCAAAATGAGGAATGCTCTTGTTTTTATGTCTGAATCTATGTGGGTGCTCAAGTCAATTACTTTTTCTGCGATCGTAGGCAAAAATGCTTCTTCAATATCCCCCTTTATACCAACTAACCTGCCAGTACGAACAGCCCTTCTGACGAGTTGCCGAACTACATAACCTCTCCCAATATTTGATGGGACAACGCCGTCTGACAGGAGATAAACGATTGCATGCAGGTGATCACCAATTATCTAAAACAATGGAAAGTTTTATAGTATCAATGCAAATATAAGAATAATTAATATATGTTAGAGAAAACTATTGGAGATATCACAAACTCTTGGTGATAGCATACTTTAAGGTTTGTTTTCATAGAATCATCAGCAAGAGCATACGAGACATTTGCCAATTCTGAGGCTTTCTCTATAATGGGAAAGATCAAGTCAGTCTCATAATTGTTGGGAACCTGCACACATGGTAGAATATAAAAGGAAGTGTGAAGTTGAACTAAAAAATAACCAAAAGAATCTTCAAGAAATGATTCTTCTGAAACCAAAATGAGATTATTGCGGGGGAAGTTTGCTGTGGGCAGTACAAACTCCATTACCAAGATTCGAATCAGATGGAGGCATCCCATTTGCTTTGATATGAGAAGTACTTAAACCGTTCATAACTCAGATGTGGCAGAGCTAGAAGTACCTTCTGAAGGATGCGAGCCATAAGCTCCAAACCTAAACCAGTATCAATATTCTTTTGTTTTAATGGTTCAAGTGAACCATCATCTGTTCTGTTGTATTGCATGAAAACCAGGTTGTAGAACTCTACGAACCTAATATCATCTCCTAGGTCCTGCAAATGAAAAACATCAACTCAATAATCAAAATCATAGTGATAATGCTAATAAATAATTCAAATACAAAATAGTCCAGCTTCACCCAAAGCAATATAAAAAAGAAAGGAAATGGTTTTAACAAAATACGTACAACATCTGAGTGTCCTCTCTCAGGACGGAAATCGTAATAAAGCTCGGAGCATGGACCGCAGGGACCAGTCACTCCACTAGTCCAAAAGTTGTCTTCTTCACCCATCCTCTTTATACGCTCCACAGGAACACCAACCTGAAGCAAGAACCAGATTTATGAAGTTAATTTCACTTATCATTTATATCTGGAAGCTATCAGTAAAAGAACTCTCACGTGGAAGAATACAGTCCCCAAGAAGTGAAGAACAAAAAAGTCTCAAATGGACACCTTGGGCTTAGCAGGCAAGTGCATATATGTAACTTGAATGACCATGAAGAGTGATTTTAACAAGGTATGAAAATTTTGGAAACGTTCATGACAAGCCTCTTTGGCATGAATTTGGATAGCTAGACATCTCTTTACATGGAAAACAATTTTAATGATCAGATACACAAGCGGAGAAAATTACAAAAGATATATTAGACTATAAGTACAACAATATGATTAAAGTTCTTGTCTGCTTACCTCGTCATGCCCCATTTCAAATGCTTCATCATCATCTTCGTAAACAGTTACCATACTCTTTCTGCTGGCAATGCAAACCTGAGCAATTAAAAAAATACTTTCATTCTTCTTGCTCAGAGAAACAATCACAAATTCATAGCTATGACGAGGAAAAAATTTATTCAAAAAAAATTATGAAAAACCCATCCTTTTAGTAAGATCCTCTGTATTGACCAACATCTGGTACTAACATATTGGAACCTACGCCCCCCAAAAAAGGCATTTATGCTTGACTTTAGGGTCTGTTTGGCTGATGTGCGCATGGACTTCACACTCTTCACTACTAGTATGGATCCCAAAATATTTACAGTTGTGACTGCTGCTTTTTTCCCATCGCTAACAACAGTGTCATCCCACAACAAACACTGTCCAAGGACGTGCCTTTGAAACTACAACTACTTGCAGCCACTAGAATGGTTACATCTTATATAGTGAATTGATGCTCATAATATTTTAAGGTCATAAATAATTCCAGGCATTTATTGTATACATAAAATTGTGGAAATATTATTCAAAAAATACTGCTTGTATGACTTAAAAACCAGTTTTTATCGGAAATTTTATAGGCCTGGTACCTATTGAGAAACATAAAACTTCATAAGAGGTGCCAACTTGAAATAAGGATATTGAGATTTATGGCAAGTCAATGAAAGGAAAAAAAACAAATTAAAAATAGACATATTCAATCAACAAAAGGAGTGTGAAGACAAGAGAATTATCAGTCTAGACTTCAGTGTCACAATAAAATTACTCGTACATACTCCAAGGTAGTAAGCTCCCATGCCCATTTAATTGCTTCCTTCTTGAAGTAATCTCCAAAACTGAAGTTTCCAAGCATCTCAAAGAATGTATGATGTCTAGATGTTCGACCTACATTCTCAACATCATTTGTGCGTATGCATCTTTGGGAAGTTGTGGCACAGGGTACCTGAACAAAATATGATGATGATATTAAAGTGGCTCAAAATTGTATTCGAAAGAACATATGTAATATACACATGTTCATTAATAACAAAATGAATAAGACAGCATCATTGCATTCCATTAGCAGACCTTGTAGACCAAAACCAAGAGACACATACCCATCAAAAGGCGAACAAAGGGGGCAAAAAAGAAGAAGGAAACTACGACACACATTAATGAAAATCATACATTTGGTAATCATCAGACATCATGCCAATATGTTAACCAGCCCAATTACGAGATGTGCATCAGTGCCTTTTGAAAATATTTTTTTTATCCAAGGTAAGTGTTTATAACTCCATATCATACATTTGCTTAAAATAGTATATATTCAGATACAACTTACAAGACCCTAATATTATGTGGTGGGAGAATGGAGAAGTATTTCAATATATGGTAGTATAGAAAAATCCATTACCTCATGTGATGCAATTTTATCCTTAATCATTACAATTGTATGGATGACAACTTAAATATTGAGATATTCCAACAACAATAGAGCATGGTCTGTCTAATGAGGCATAAATACCTACAAGTTTTAATATAATAAATAATTCACTGTGCACAATGATCTCAATGTAGCATACTAAAATAAATAATTCACAGTGCACGATGATCTCAATGTAATATATTTCTATATGCTATGTCCAATATAATCAACTGAATGCTAAGTTTAGTCTTTATTTTCAATAGAGTGATCCCAAGTCAGGCTTTGTAAGAAAATTCTGAACTACATGTAAATACCTTTCCCAAGAATATGGGCTTGAACTGAAGCATTCCGGCAATTGTCAGTAGAACTGTTGGATCATCTGGTACAAGAGAAGCACTTGGAAGGACCTTGCGACCTCATGAAGCATAAAAATCAAGAAATCGCCAGCGAATGGAATCCCCACTTGTGGGGACATCCTTGGATTTATCCTCAACCAATTCCTCAGTCATAGGTTGTATTGATGCTGAAAGAAGATATCCAGAAAAGGTTTTTATATCATTCGGAAGACAGATGCTGAAGAATTTGTAAGCTCCTATGACAAAAAATGTGAACAAACAAGAGTTCTCTACCTGACGTAATTCTTGTGGTGAAGTTTACTTTCCGTGCTCCCTTAATTTTGGAATGTTTAGAGGGAAAATGATCCCTGCAACCTGTATTCAGGTTCTAATGTGTCAGCCTCAAGAAGGGAACTTAATGCACTGAATATGGAAATGTGTCAGCCTCAAGAAGGGAACTTAATGCAACCCACCCCCCCCAAAAAAAAAGAAGACTACTCATGTCGTGGTAAATCTAGATAAAGCAAAGTTCACAGAGAAAAACCAAAAGAATACACTACACTGCACTCACAAATCCCCAAACCTGTAATTTTTGTGCCCTGAAGAGTCTGGAAATTTATACATGGCAATACAATCAAACACTTAAAAAAGAGTCAGGTTAGTTTGTTTCTATCATTTTTCTATCCAAAACCATGATTAAACCTTAAGAAGTTGAAGGATTTACCAGAGTCGAGAAAAATAATTATACCTCCTCCCCTAAGTTAATAAATTTGCTTTTTCTTGATTTGAATTTGATAATCAAGAAAACCCTAAAATCACAAGGACGAATTGAGACCTTCAAATAGAAAACCAAAGATCAAAAAATAAGCACAAGAAGTCAAACTAATTGTTCCAAATTTAAGCAATAGACTAAAGCTTAAAGACTAGAATTTGTTCAATCAAGTCATGCATTCATGTAGCTTCAAGTGAAATAAAAGTCATCTTCAACCAATATATATGTATACCACAATTGAGCAAGAGGACTCCTGAATTCACATAAAAACACTACACCACTTATAAGAACTCCAATATTATGAAGTACAAATCAATAATCCCCACCATATGCTCTTAAATCTTTTAAACTCACCCTAGCTTTGTATACAAATTACTATCCCTGCAAAACTCATTTCAACTATTAAGTCCATGGGTGCTTCCAAAAATAAGAAAAAGACACACAAAAACTAAACTATACAATAAAAGAACAAAATCTAACTTATCTATTAATCAAAATTAAGATAAGAACACAGATGAAAAGAGAGAGATTTGCAATATGGGTAACAAGGCGAAACCACTTCAAGAATGTTTTAGCCCTAAAAGAAACACAACTTAATTCTAGTCTCTTAAAAAAAATTGATTATAACCTTTCACGTACACATCCTGTAACGGCAATTTTTTAATTTCCTAAGACAAATTAAAGACCCAATTTGCTAAACTAACATAACATCACTAGAAGCAAAGTTAAACCCAAGGAACTCAAACAAATTTTAAGATTTAATAAATGTATTCAAGGCAAATTAATTACCAATGGAGAGGGCAAGTTGGCATCTTGGCTGATATCTTGAAATGGGTCTTGAAGTAAGAAATGGGAGCAGAGGTTTCGCTCCATGCATGCAGTGCAGAGAGAGTTCCATCTTCAAGCCTTTCATGGCCGTTTATCTCTCTCTCTCTCCCTCTCTTGTGGTTCTCTCTATATTTCGAATTGGCGTTATTTTTTAGAGAGAGAAAGAGAGCGAGGGAGGGCGGGAGAGGAGAGTGAGGGAGAGAGAGGGATAAGTTTTTATGTGATATCCACATAATTTGCAGTTGAAAATTGTAAGGTCAGTTGTGAGGCCACTGGACTTCCAAGTCCAGGCCACAAATGAAGTGGCTGATTGACCCAGGTCCATGTCCAGAGTACCCAACTCAAGCGATTGCTTGGCTGCACTGTACCCAAATGAATTTCCAGTCCTTGATTAGACAAAAAAAAAAAAAAAAAAAAAAAAAAAAAAAAAAAAAAAAAAAAAAAAAAAAAAAAAAACCCCCAAAAATTTGGTTTGTATTTGAGAAACATGTTTTGAGATAAAAAGTATGAAAATTTGTTTGGTTTGATTTTTTTTCAAAAGATGTTTTGAAAAATTATTTTGAGAGAGAGTTTTGGAAAAAATGATTAATTTGATGTGTATGAGAGAGAGATTTGTTTGGAAAACTTGTAAACCAAACAAGTTTTGGAAAAAAAATTTGAGAAAATTTATTTGGTTTGTTACTTTTGAAAACTTATTTGTAGAGAATTTTTCCTAAAATTTTTTGAGAAACACAAACCAAACTTAATTTTTTTTGGGGGGGTGTGTGTGTGTTTAGAAACAGATTATTTTAATAAATTTTTAATTAAAATACGAGGTAAAAATATTAGTATATTTAGAATAATTTTTTAATTTTTTACAAAAAAATATGCAACAAGTAGAAAAAAAATAATTTTTTAACTTTTTAATATAGGTTATAGGTTTTTTAATTTTTTTTAATAAATTTTTTATTTTAAACTAAAATACTCACATGCTAAACGAGGCCTTAATCACTTTGACTCTTAAGTCATGTTTGATTGAAAGTTTGGGAGAAGAGATTGGATTAGTAATCTATGGAGTCCACCTATAGTATGTTTATTTGTAAAGAAGTGACATGGAATGCTAATCCTGTGGGCCCATTTGTTTTCCGCTATCACAGTTCACTCCGGACTGTGATAGACGAACAGTGAAGATGACTTATGTTTGTTTGGTTTTGGAGCTCCAAATTTGTAGTCACTTCGGATTACGATAGGCCTTGGCCTTGGCCTTGGCGAGGGGTATTGGTAATTAGGACTGGGAAATGGTATTAGCAAAATAGTCCGTTCGGATTGAGTATTACTGGACGTTCAGCTGGTCAATCAATTAACTGTAATTTTTTTTTTTCACTTGTTGGGCATTTTTTTAAAACACTAAAATTTAATGTTTTTGTATTTTTTGTTAAGTAAAAATTATAATTTTATTTGTTTTATTATTTTATATAAAAATAATTTAACAATCCACACACTAACAACTATCATCAAACAAACACAATTTTACTAATCTCCTCACTATCAATCCACTCATTAACAATTCCCTCACTATTAATCCTCTCCATTCTACCTCTTAAAACAAACGGGGCCATGAGACTATCAACCCCCTCCCAGGGTGGAATTAGCATTCTCATAGGAGGGGTGGGATTAGAATTCCACTCCCATGGATTGAGAGCAAAAAGACTATTTTGCCCCGCATTCTACAAAATCAACAAAAATAACTTCTATGTGAAAAGGTTTTTTTTTTATGTAATTTGCAGATTTAATTATAGCTAACTAATACCATCACACTAGTGCACAAACAAACACATTTTATCTTACACCTCCAATCTAATATCACCACACTATCAATCCCCTCAATTCCATTGTACTTTTCTTTTCTTTTTTTTCTTCTTTTTTTCTTTTTTCTATTTTGACCTTTCATATTTTAAGTTTTTCTCAATTAACTCCTAAAGCTAATGTTTGTACAAAATTAAATAGAAAATGATATATTGATAGTCGTGTGACATAATAATTATTTTGGAAAACTGAGTCAAAACCCCATCCATTAGACCATTATTTGTTAAAAATGACAATCCAATTTATTTTTCTTCATAAATCCCCTAAGGAGAAAACGCATAATTGAGTAAGGACAAAGTAAAATATTTTTTTAATTTTTTTTGTTTATTGGAAAATATTGCCAAAGTAACATGTTACTGTCAAATAGAATAATTATCCAACAGAGTAACATGTGGAGTAATTGTCAAACAGATTAACATGTTACTGTTACTGTTTACATCAATTTCAACAGTAATAATTTTTAAAAAAAAATTCATAGTCAACATGAATCTTATTTGATTGATCTTGATGAGAGAACTCTAAAAGTATTAATTTTATTAAAAACTGACATCTACATCAAAAGTTATATTACTTTAAAATTTAATATTTTGACAATAGTAATATTTGTTGGACTTTTCAAGAAATTTTTTTTGTACTTATCCTTAATGCATTAAAATTTTATTATGAGGGGGTTTTGACTAAATCCTCCTAATATTTTATTATATATAATTCACACTTCTAACATAAATTCAAGCTCTAATATAATAATATATTTTTTATATTATGTGATAGTTATTGCGGCATTTTTTTGGTCTAATTTTCAACGTAAATTAGCTTTAGGAGTGAAGCTGAAAAAAATAAAAAATAAAAAAACACAAAGGGTCAAAGTGAAAAAAAATAAAATTAATAAAAAAGTAGCCAAACGTAAAAGGGGACAATATATATATATATATATTTTGATTTAAATTGGAATATACCATGATTACCAATTAAAGAAATTTATAAAATTACTTTTTTACAAAATACTTTTCATGTCAACCTGCATGTTAAAACAATTGAACAAATTTATGCTTTAGAAAAACCGAGGGAAACTTGCCAATTATTTGATTCTAATCTAATTAAAAGACATCTAAAAAATGGTAACAATTTTATTCATTTAGGATTAATTCAAGTTGGTATTAAACCATTAACTCAACAGGGAAAAAATACTTCTGTTTTATTATGTTTATGAGATGCTCGTTTTATTAATTACAATGATAGTTTGATGGGAATGATGGAAACTGGTCTACATAAAGGTCCAGTACATTTTAATTGTTTTCCTGATTTCACTCTTAGTCTGCGAGATCCACATATTTTAAAAGCATTAACTTTGAATATTCAATTAAATGGTTCATTCACTAATATGTTAGAGAAAGTTCACAATATTGCTTTAATTTGTCGTGTTCATTATAAATGCATGAAAACTAATTTAAATATTCAAGCTTTACACAAATCTCCAAAAGATAAAACTCTGCTGATCCAAAGTAGTAACAATGAATCTCATATTAATGTTCCTCAAATGATTGAATGGCATAATATTACTCTTTCTGATCAATGGATTACTGAAAATGAAAATTACAAACATAATCAACAACAATCTTCAATTCAAGATATTCAAGATATTCAACAATATACTGATGGCTCAGTTCCTATTAAATTTAATCGAAGCCAATCTTCTAGACATAGTACATCTAGTGTCCCTACTGATGTTGAAATTGAAGATGAAATATTTACCACTCCTTTGTTTAGGAAAAATAGTCAACTACATCTTGGTCAAACTAGCCAAACCTCTTATAATAAATTAAAAGGAATTGATAACTCTACAACCTCTCAAATTAGTAAACCTGTTTACTCAACTCACACCCATTTACCTGAAGAAGATATTGCCTCTAATAATTCACCAACTCAAACTGATTTCGAAGAATTTATACCTCCAGTAAATCCTCAATTAATGACAATCAAAAAAGATTTTACTCCTGATTTAGATAAATTACTTATTGACTTTAGATCCAAAGAAAATAGGACTAAAAGACATGCTTATCGTGATAAATATGACTCTACTCAACAATCCAGAATAACTAGAAAATGGTATGATTTTATGATTGAATATGGTTTTGAATTAGCTTTCTTTGAATATATGGAAAAATATTACAAAAAGATTAACACAATCACAAAACATAAATGGAAAACTTCTCCTAATACTTCTGTTAGTTCTAATCATTCTCCATTAGAAAACATAATTATTGATCATCAAGGTGCTGAAGTTCCAGCCTCTTCTTTTAAATTACCTGGCTCTGACCCTGAAATTAAAAAAGTTATTGAACAAAATAATTATACTAATCAATGTTTAAAAACAATTGGCAAACAATTAGATAAACTAGAAACCAATTTAGATGAACAATCAGTAAAATCCACTAAATCCTTAGATCAACCTTTGCTTAATCTTCCTAGTCATCATTCTAAAAGAACTAGCTTAGTAACTACTAATCAATCTACTGTAAAATCCATTGAGCAATTATTCACCAAATTAACTCCCAACGATCATACTTCTACATCTAAAGATAAAGGTCTTAATGTTTTAAATCAACACCCTAATATAGATACTATTTCTAATCAATCTGAAACAGACACTACTGATAATGAAATAAATCAAATCGCCCAACAATTTCAATCCTCTAATCTCAATAAAATTCATTATCCCAAAGTTAATCCTCAAAATACAAAAAACTGGTATTCTCGACCTACTCCACCTGATCTCTAATTTGAAGAAACTAATCTTAATAATCAATTCTCTGTCTCTGCTAAACGATTATATGAATGGAATATTGACGGTCTCAGTGAAAATCAACTCCTTCAAAAATTAAATCATTTATTTATGGTTGCAAATAGCTATCTCAGTAATTACCCTCAATACTCTCAACCTAAAATTGTTTCCTTAATTACTTCTGGTTTTACTGGTATGCTCAAATCTTGGTGGGAAAAATATCTTACTGAAGATCAATGCGACTTCATCGTTTATGCTAATCAAACTGATGAAAATGGTTTACCAATTTTTGATGAAACTATTGGTTGTTGCCACCCTGATGGAATCAATCAATTAATATATACAATAGTTCGACATTTTATTAGTACCCCTTCAAATATATATTCTCGCATATATGATCAACTTAGTAATCTTACTTGCCCAACCTTAAGTTATTTTAGATGGTATAAGGATGTTTTTACCTCTAGAGTTATGTTAAGAGAAGACTGTACTAAATCATTTTGGAAAGAAAAATTTATTAATGGATTACCTAGTTTATTTGCTCACAAAATTAGAGATGTTCTTAGTCAACCTACTGGTATTATTGAATATGATAATTTAA